TATGTGTGTTTTAAATGTCTATTATGCCCAATTAAGTGCACCTCTGCTGAGTCATCAAGACAGTGCAGTACTTAAACATGGTGAGTAGGCGTCAAGACCGAGACCAAATGGCTTGGTCAGAGCTTATTACTGCTGAAATCATAGCGTATTATATATTAGTTTTAAACAAATACTAGACAGAATTCTAAGCGGGTACCATTTGAAACACATATTATGAAAGGGTTAAAATACTGAAGAAGTTCATTTGTGCATGTCTGAGACAGAATCACTGCAAATCACATAACATTTCAAAATACATAAGACTGATGATGGGTGAAACAAAAAGGAAATAAATCAAGAAATAAAAGACAGAAAGTTAATTTAAGTAAAAGTTTTTCTTGTCCAATCCAGCACATAAAGTCAGATGACTTTGGTCTGTGGTCACACTGATTCAGCTTCATCAATGCACATAGCCTGCTAATTCATTTAATGCCTATTGAAGGGAAGCTCAAGGCTGACCACCATTAACAGACCATCATGCTTGTCCAGTGTCTGTATTTTATTAAGATTTCGCTGGTTACTGATCATAAGGTTTACCTTCTACAAACAGTTTAATGAAGTTGTTGCACAGCCCAGACCTGTCATGGCACTGGGTTGGCAGCTCCTTACCCAACACAACATGAGTCTGAGCCATTTTTCCTCTTTATGAATTGTATTTTCAACTAGAATCAAATCTTTTTTGTTTTAATATGACAGGTTCTGGAGCATCATGGTAGAAAACAGGACCTGATGTTAACAGAGGTCAAGCTGAAAACGATTTGTGGATTTCAAGGCAGTGATATGGATATGATTTGGCCTGGGAGACACTACTGATGAGTTTTTCATTCAGAACGTCTATCAGTGCAGTGAGTTTGTGTCTGTTGGGCACATTGCAAATTAGATCTGTGATCTGAGCCCACGACTTTAATGCACTTGATATAGCCTAAATAAATCAATCAAAACTTGTTTATGTGTGATTCAGACGCACACACTTCATTAATGAGGAGGACTCAACTTGACGCTCTCTGAACTTTGTGTGCGTCAACGCCACTGGCCATCGCGTTACCCTCAATTAACTTTGCTCTTGCTACTGGATAAACCTCTCTGGGGGCGGACAAAGTGTGTGTGCGTGCATGTGTGTGTCTGCATGCCCCCTACCCCAGCCCTCCGCCCTGATCTCTTTACAGGACTGCCAGCCCGTCTCGAGTTATTCCGGGAATGCGTTGAACATGGCTGCCGCGATGAAGGCGCAGAAAACGGGACTGCTAGAACTTCGTGTGACTGTGGACCGCTGGATCCGAGTGCTGGCCACGCTTACCGAGGACACGCTCACGGTAAATCCCGGAGAGGGTGCCGAGGAACCCGCGAAACCCAACCCGAGCCCAGCTGGCGCTATCAACGGAGACCCCCCGAACCTCAGCTCGTCCCCAGTCCCGGAAACCATCACCAACGTCAAGCGCACCGTGCGAATTACCAAGCAAGATGTTGGAGGACTCGGAATCAGTATCAAAGGTAAGACAGTTACCTTAAAAACAATGAAAAGTTTTGTCTTTGGCTGTCAACGGCGCATAAAAACAACCGAGGACCTGTAAGTTAACATAACAAACTTCAGACTGAGTTTTATATCCCGCTCCACTTTCCTATGGCGTTTTGTCCTTATGTGGAACAGTTAAATCTACAGCTTCTGTTTGCACAGATTGTTTCAAGCTGTCCCTCACCTCAACAGGGAACCATTCCACTGTTTCTCAGCCAGGGGAGTTTGACAGCATGATTCTAGTAAAACAATTATTTGTGTAAAAACAAACAAACAAAAAAACTTCCCCAAATTTCCTCGATGTAAATTACAGTTGTCCTTTTCTCTCAACAACTCGTAATACAAAGCAGTAATGGATTTAATTTACTGCCCTGGTTTGTGTGTAAGCTTCCTTTTACTGTTTTACATTTGAGCAATGTATCTGAAGGGCACCTACCCACAGTAGAAAGAGAAGTGAAAGGCAGGGAAAGCAGAGACGGGGGAACAAGTTAGTTTTTCTACACTATTAAAACTAACTTCAATTGGCAAAATATATTTCTTTGGCTGATAATCTTTGAGCGGCCAAAGGATGAACACCTCAAATGCATATAGACCCCAGTGCTGTACATCATGGTTGAGCCAGTGTTGCTCCTCTATCCCTTCAGTGGGAAAATGTTGTGACCTCTCTATATCATTCACTTCAGGTTTACATACCTGTGCTGTGCAGTGTGCAGGTAAAAGCCTTTTCCATGTCCTGTTTTCCCAACCTGCAGCAACAGGCCATATCTCAGAGGGAATCTCAAAATGAGGAAGACTGGCATGGTTGAGTGCCAAGTTGCTATGCTATCTAAATACAAATCATAAAATAGATGGTGCAGGATAAGGCAGTCTAATATTTAGATTGGATTTCCTGGAGGTGACCAACATTGTTTACAGTTTTAACTCGGACGGTTGGAGAGCAAGACAGATTCAAGCCCGCAGGATTTCTTCATTTCTTTTTAGACTGCTTCTTTGCTTTGTTACACCTTTTGCATCTTATAAATCATTTTTTTGCAATTTAGTTACCAATGTAATAGTCATTTTAATCTCCCTGTGTCCCATAGGGTTTCATTTTCCACTCGACTTGTTTGGGGTTATGATGGTGAAATTGTGACGTCTCTGTGCCAGTCCCCGTGGGTTGTGATTTGTCCACTGTCCCAATGAACATCAAGGCTGTGTGCTGAATAATGAATCTGCATTCTGAAATGGCTACTATATGTGTGTGTGTGTGTGTGTGTGTGTGTGCATTGTGTTTCATCTTATGTGTGAGTTGCACCCTTCACCACTGACAGTTCTGCATGTAGGTTACCACTTGCCCATCAGGCGATTGCATAGGGTTGATTTAACGGACAGGTGTCGACTCAAACTATTGTCGTGCTGCAAAGATGGGTCATCATTACAGCTGCTGGTGACATGTTAATTTTAGTTCCCCCACTGTTATCACAAACAACAACAACAAAGCCAGCCCATAATAACATAAATGTAACGTCCATCTCTGTGCAAACTGGGTGGCATTGACAATCAGACAGCATGTTATTAAAACAAAACCGTAGCTGGCACCCTGTTGGCTTGACATTGATGTGATGCTGTTCATTCACAGGCACTGATGAAGAGAGAGAGGGAAAAAGGGTGTAGGAGAATAGAAAGAGAGGAAAAGGCACAAAGAACAAGCCATAGATGGACATGGAACAAGTTGAATGGGTCAATTGAAAGAAGAAAAAAGAAGAAATAGTCACGTAAACAAAAACAGATTGAAACAAATTAAAAAACAGTGCAAACGTTGTTTAACACCACATTGTGAACAGCTGAGAGGAGCAGCACAGCAGGCAGTTGTCACTGGCCAAACACGAAAGCTATGTGGCTGGGCCTGGAGTACTCCACTAGTGTTAATTTTAGGGAGCCCACTCCAGCTTGCAGGAAAGCATGGAGATAGACAACCTTCACTCTCACATGTCTAAATTTAAAAGGCTAGCAAGTGAGGATCTAGGTCTGCAGACAGGCCCGCTCAGCTCAGAGCACTTCTGCAGCCCAGCAGCTCCTTGCATGTGAATGATTCTGGTCTTGAGTTGGTGAAAAGTGTCACAAAGACATAATTTAGATTTATTAGTTTCCCTGACATGATTTTTAACTGTACCAGCGTGTTGTATCCCACTTATGGGGGACTTCGTGTGAGTTGAATTCAATGCTTATTTTTAGGACAACATTATGAAACTATGCTTTGGTGCCTCAAACTCTTTTGTTACAGACCAGCTCAGATACTTACAGACTGTATTTTTGTCAGTTAACAAGGCTCAGATGCAGTGTTATGGAACAAATTTGTTATTCAAAAGGTATTCTCTACTTATCAGGCGCTACACGCTCATTGGGGATATGTAACCTCATTATGTAGTTTTGTGTCAAATATACCTTCTGTTGTTTTTTTTTTTTTTAGTTCATTAGCACTGCATGATGAAGTGCTGATCATGCCGAATTCCTTGAAAGGAGAATTATCACAACAAACACATTGTTCACAAAAAAATACCTAATTAGGTACATGTCAGTGTCGTATAAACCGGTACCATTCATTTACCTGTCACTGGTCCCACCTCACTTCCACCCTCCTGTCAGCTGAGTGACAGGTTGCCGGCTGGAGGGCGCTCAACTGTTTGGCATGAAACGTTTGAGGAAGAAAGGTAGGAAAGGAAGGGAATTTGGGAGGATTATGGGTTGTGTAGATGGGATATTGCCAGTATTTTTCCTACAGTATGAGAAGGATGTTTATTCAGCAGCCGTGCCAGTAAGAGGCATTTAAGATTGGAACCTGAAAGTATGTGAAGAGAGGAAAAAGCTGTAAGGTGATATAGAGGTGGGAAAAGGTTACCTGGGATTTATCACTGTTGCTGGCCCTAACCTCGTTCAGCTGCCCCAAGGACAGACTGTTGTTTGTCAGAGAAGAAGATGAAAGATCTTCTTAACAATCTCTTATACCAAGTCAGGTTGTTTCCTTATTAATTCAAACATCTGCTATATAAATGTACCTACATTATGCCAACCATTTTGCTGCCAATGTGTCCATCATCCTCTGGCTGACTCAAATGAACAGGGCTTTATTTTAAATAGACTCTGGGCAAACTGTAATAAATTACGACCATTCATTCAGTAGATTTTATTCTTGGATCAGCAGCCCAGCAGTAGTTTTTATTCTGGTTTTTGGCATAGTTTTCTATTGATATTTTTAAATGTTAAAACACCCAGTCTTCCATTTAGTGCAAATTAGTGTGTAATTATTTATTATTTTCATGTGAATTCTATGCTTGAAGTCAATTGCAGCTATTCTGCTCAATAGACCCAGTAGACAATAATTACTGGATGTCTGCTGTTAAAGCTTTAAACCCATAGATGATTCAGATAATAAGTCTGCAGTTTGTGATTTGGACAAAGTACTGTGGAGTATTCATGCAGAGATTATAGAGCAATGCAATTTGCTGCAGTTCCTATGTTGGTGCAAACTGGGGGCAAAGGTAACCTGAAGGTTAGAGAAACAACTTGTGACTGGAAGGCATTCAGATTTAATCCTCAACCAGCTGGGGAAGTTTGGATGGGGGTGAGCGGGCAGTGCACTGGGCTCACAGGATGCCAGACTGTTTAAATTGATATTACGAACAATGCATACAGTAAATATGCTTCTATATGTAGGGTATTTTTAAGTGCTTTACCCAAGACACAGGGACAATAACAGAATAAAAGTCGAGACCCCAGAAAAATAACATTTTGCTGATCTGAAAATATCCATCCATCCATTTTCCTTCGCTTACCCGGGACCGGGTCGCGGGGGCAGCAGTCTAAGCAAAGATGCCCAGACTTCCCTCTCTCCAGACACTTCCTCCAGCTCCTCCGG